AAGCTATTCAGCCTCCTGGTCTATTGTACTTTTGCAGGTTATGGGCCTTGCACATTGTTTGGTTTGCTGTAAAGGTCTCTGGAGATCTTGGCCACAGAAGATTTAGAGGGTAACAGACTAGTATCATCCTTCTTGCTCCTCAAATAATACCTGTTAGAGGTTTGTTTATGAAAGGCTTTGACTACTGTGTAAGGAACGCATATGTAGAAGCTGTTTTGTCAAATGTTTTTCCCCTTTCCTTGGGACAGGTTGAAAAGCTTAATAATGATACATCCCTTTGTAACTCGGGCAGAAGATGAAGGATGCTTTGAAGTTCAGATGTGAAGTTCACTTCCTTATACTCCTCCTGATTCTTAGGATATTGTTTGATTTCCCATCTGTGTAGAAGTAGAAGTCAACTGATTTGGTTACCTGGCTCACTTGTTTCTTCATAGGTTGCCCTGTACCTGCAAGAGCAAGTTTCTTAAATTCTTCATTCTTTTTCCAAATCTCAATCACCTTCTGCTGCATTTCCATTCTCTTCTCCATCTCTTGCTCCTCAGTATCTTCTAGAACCTTCTGCTCTACAGGTGGTATACAAGGCACAGTTTGTCTGCCTTGGCTTTCTCTGGGGAAGATTCATTCTTTTCAAAAGTATCTTGCTGAACACTGCCTTCTTCCTCTGGTTTCTTTTTGTTGTTAGAAACTTCATTTTTTTTAGAGGATGAAATTTCATTGATGATTACAGGAGTACCACATTTCTTGACTTTCATCTTTACCTGGTCTTTTTCTTTCTGCTCCAAATCTTTCAGAGCAGAGAGTCTAATAGATCTTCTCAGAGACTGGGCTGGAATATTTTTCAATATGGCTCCCTTAACTGCCAGAGAAGAACAAGCATTTGATGGAATGGATTGTTCTACAAAATTACCTTTTTCTGCCTCTTTATAATAAGTATTGTCAACTGGTATTAAAGGTGTGATAATAACTGTCTGAATATTAGCCTTTCTCACAGTAGTTTTGCTCTGAAAAAGTCCTCCTGTTCCATTCTTCCCAAGAAACTTATTCTCCAAGTCGGCCTTCTCAAACTGTGAATCTATGATATGTTTTGAGTATCTCCCTTATCATCCAAAGATACAAAGTGGATGAAGTCTGTGGGGGTATCATAGGAATGAAAGGTTTTAACTTGTGATATTTTCCCCCACTTAGTGCAGAAGAACAGGTTTTTTCCCCATATTTGCATCACTTTTCTTAACAGGTTATCTTCTGTGGTTAATCAATCTGTCAGTCACTTGCCTACAGACTTGATGCAAAGTCACAACATACTCTTTTATCTCTTTTCTGAATTCTTGAAATTTGGCAAATACTTATTCGGAATCTCGCCTCATCTCAGCTCTGACCACCGAAAGTACATCTTTTTAAACATCATGCAATTGTTTAGTTTTGTATTGTCTTGTTAAATTGTTATCTCTGCCTTTTAATAATGTATTTTGGCCATTTACAATGGAGATAAATTTTGGCACAGTTAGGTTTAATTTTATCATCTTGTCATTTATTTTTTTGTGTGTGTCCTGTGTGTTTTTAGTGCTTTTAGTTTTTTTCATTCCTGCCTTCTTTGGATTTTTTTAAAAAAGTTTAAATAATCTTTTTGTTTTGGAACAGTTTCAGATTTACAAAAAAATTGTCAGGATAATATATAGAGTTAGTTTCCCTTATAATTAAAATTTTGTTCGGTAAGGAAAATTTGTTACAATTAATAAAATCATATTGATATATCATTATTAAATAAAACTCACACTTTATTCAGAATAGCTTACTTTTTTTAACCTAATGTCTGTTTTTATTCCAGCATTTCACCTAGGAGACTATGCTATATTTAGGAGTCGTGTCTCCTTAGGTTGCTCTAGATTGTGACATTTTCTTGGATTTTTCCTGTTTTTCATGACCTTGATAGTTCCAAGGAGTGCTAATCATTTGGTAGAATCCTCTGAATCGAAATTTTTCTGTTGTTTTCTCATGCTTAGAGTCAGCTTATGGGTTGGGAGAAAGATCAGTGAGGTTAAGTGCCATTTTCATCTCATCCTGTGAATATGACTTATCCCTGCTGATGTTAATATTGACCACCTGGCTGAGGTAGTATTTGTGAGTTTTCTCCCTTGTAAATTACTCTTTTGTCCACCTTTTCATACTCTATTGTTTGCCAGAAAGTCACTTTGTGCCCTCCACACTTAAGGAAGGTGCAGTTAGGCTCCACCTCCTTGAGGGGGCAAAATAAATTATTTGAATTTCTTCTGCACAGATTTGTCTATTTCTGTCCCCAATTATTAATTTATTAAAGCATGTCTTTATATCATGTATCAGTATGGAGT